CGGCAATTGTTCTTATGCGCTTGTCGTCTTCTATAACGCGCGATACGTCCCGTTATTGTCCTGCTATAGACAGAAGTCTGACGCAGTAATACCGTGAGTAATTGCTAAATTTGCATTTTTCCGTTTGCGGACGGGAATCGCATCGTCATGCAAAAAGAAAGAGGAAAATAGAATTTGTGCGGCACAATCAAGAAAACCGTTTTTCTCTTGCACGTTCAGCGCATCAATGATATGCATAGCGAATGTATTTTTAAATTGAAACTTGTCTTACGTATTTTCTTCGTGCGCCTTTCGCGCACGGCTAGCGAAACCATCGCCGCAGATTTTTTACTTCGTAGCTGCGGTTCTTTTTTATTTACATCGTACGAAATACCACTCTATTTCACGCGCGCTCTTCTGTCATTAAAATGCAAAAGCGAATTTCTACTTTAGAAAGAAATCGGCCCGGTTGACGGTCAGACGAGAGATAAAAAGGAAATTGAAAATATGGTCGATTTCGAAACAGCCAGATAGTTAATGTCGGAGGTAAAAAGCTCCGAGAAAGAAAAATGGCATCCAAACAGATTATCATTTACGTAAGGTCGTCTCCAGTTTGATGAAGAAATCCTGAATTACACAGCTGGCAATCGTCCCGAAACATTCTACACAGACTCAGCACTTCGCGCGCTGTTTTTGCGCTCGTCGTCGCCTCCACTTCTTCTTTTTTGATTTTAGAAGATCTCGTAAAACACGTTAGATATGGACAGACACGTACGCTCGCGCTGCTAACATCGTTAACGTCGCTCCGATAGCGAGTAAATACTTTCAATTCCTGGCGATAGTTTCCGTCCGATAAATTCGCGCGTTCTCGAGGGCGATAAGCCAACACGTAGAGCAACTTCATCAACCTGTCAACGTTCTTTACGACGTTCGTCGCAATGAAGATCTTCTGTCGCAGTCGCGATTTGCCAGTCACGTTGCGCGCGTTCGCGCACCGGCCTTATCATCGCACCGCGAAGCACGATACGGCGACAAAGGTAGGGAATTAATTCAGTTAAAAGTTCCGGAAATAAAAGCCCGTCGTGACGCTCGACGATAACAGTAGTGGCATGACATTTAAATTAATCTGACTTCACGCTCCAACTAAAGCGGTAATTGAAAAATGCAATTGTTACGTCGTCACGACTCCTAAATAATGAATGGCTTTATCAATGTTTTCAGCTTCAGCGCGACAGCCTGGTTTATTCATTGATTCATGAACGAAAGTTTAATAATGATTCTCTGAACGCAGCACTCTCGAGAAATGAAGACGTGGGTGTTATAGAAGAAAGGGAAGCACCACGCGCTTCGTACGTTGCGAATTGCAGTGTTAGCAATACTCTCTAGTCCGCAGTGGAGAAATTTCGAAAAGAGGAAGGAAAGAACGCTTAGGCGGCGAGACAATGGGAACAATGGATGGTGCACTAACTCCGCCAATGTTTCGAGATCGGTAACAATATTCTTAGGCAAGGACAACGAATTTCAAAGGGAAAAAAACAAGCCGGAATAAAAAAAAAACACAAACAATAAACTTGCTCATTGAATGCTCAAAAAGCTAGAGAAAAAAAGCAATAAGAATAAATGACAGAGACTAACGCACAATATTTTTTTTACGGCGACTGCAAGAATAGCAATATTACAGTAGTAAAAAAACAGAGGATCTCGTAAAAAGAAAAAATGAATGCTATTCTTTATAAAAAGACAGGAATATTACTTTTAAACAAGAGAACCTATTTTTCAAAACTAGAACGTTTCTATTTATAAACCCGCTTCCGGATTATGCAATCTTGTAAGACCATATGTAACCAAGTGCGACATTATTATTCCATCCACGATCGTTGTTACAGAAACCGATAGGACACGCACGCATCGAGGGATTTACAGGACGATGCGGAAGCTTGTTCAAATATTCCTCCGATGTATCCGATACGTTTGCGATACTCTCTTCGCGTGCAGACGCGAGCGCGTAGATCCATCGCATGATTCATGTGTGGCCAACGTACGCTTTCCAACAAGCACACGACCGCTATTGGCAAGCCTTTCCATTGGCAACGGGAGATAAGGGGTGGGAAAGCTCCCTGTCATAAGCTCCGCCTTGATAGACAATTTCGGCCTTGGCCGATGTGCCGGTTCGACTCTATTTTCGCTTGTCGCTCTCTAGCGCGCATGTCTCTATCGCTACTCTGGTATGCGCATATTTCCACCCCGAATTTTTGCCGACATTCCTACGATGCTCTCGCCCAAAAATTTTTGCGTCTCGAATTATTCAAGCGAGGATTGCCTTCTGTGCGATGCAAGTTAATTGAATCTAGATTGTCCAACTTAAGAATTTTTTTCCGTGAGCTCGATTTAAAAATTCATTTTGTTATCACAGACTTAGCAGATGCTGCTTCACAATATTTAAATGTTCAATATTAAATGTTTAATGTTTAATATTTAAATTTAATATTTAATATTAAATGTTGTATTTAATGTTTCTTCATTAAGCAGAAATTGCATATGTAGTTTAATTACAATTAATTATTGTTTTCATCCATTTCTCTTAATCTTTCCAAAATCCGATTTAAGCAAGAATGACCAGCATTCATTAGAAAGAGATTGATTTTTAAAATACGGTCTCTCGTGAGAAAATAATATTGCTGCTTTTAAAGCGGTCGCTGATCGATTAAGTGCACTTTACGATTTCTAGTATACGTTGCGAAGGTTGCAAAAGAAGCAGCTGTGCGTGATATTCGGGCAGAAATTTACGATCATTATCGCTAATAAATATCTAACATTTTCCAATATGACCCGCACGGTCGGTGGCAAGAAAGCGATCGGAAAGGATAACGGCGAATTGAAGTAATTTCGAGTAGCTTGTTCGAGCGAGCGAAGAAATTATGTTATCGCCGATCGTTGCATTATTTCTGCTCTTCTATGATTAGATTTCGCGATGCGCAGCAGGAAACCAACCGGTATTCTAAAAATTCATAACAAAAATCCCGTGAAATTGGATGTGAAACAATGAACAACGAAAAAAGTAATGTGTAATTCTATTCACTTGAAGAAAAAAAAATTAAAAACACTTTTACCAAAGTTTTAATTACAAAAATTCTATGAGAGAAAGAAAAATTCTAAATTTGATCATGAAACTTTAGAACTTCTTTTGTCGACAATACGCAAAGCGATGCAAAAAGTTTTACAAACGCAAAGTAATCTTCGTAAAAATGACACGTGGATTCCTGAGATTCGCGAGATAATTTTCATATGCTTAATGCAATCTGACGCGACGCGCGCTTATGTTTTGCACTAACGAGCGATTGTGTAGCACTGCGCTTCATTAATATTCGACTGTTCATCTTTCGCGTGTTTTCTCGAGATACAATGGCACGTCTTCGCATCAAAGAGACGCGCTTTTGTGAGGCACAAGCCATTTTTCCCCCGTGCCGTCATCGCCACGAGCTTAATGCGCTGGATACTCTTTTCAACGCCTCCATGACAAGCTGATATTACAGCGGCCGTAAAGGCAGAGACGAATGATGATTTTTCGCGATATAAAGCTAATAATTTTTGACGGCGCTTGAGCATGAGTATAAATAAGGAAGGAGATGACGGGGATATGATTCCGCTATTCATATTTTGTGAAAAATGAGGTTGCAAATTGACAGCACGATACAGTCTCTACATTATTTTTAAAAGCATGACAAATGTCTAATAAATCTTAAAAACGCGTTTGACAAAAAATTATTCGACATCACTCCGCCTTGGCAGTGAACATTTGTCCACTCAATGGCGTATTGTGTGTGTATGAAGCTTAATTCTTCTCGCGTGAAAGTTACGACAGGGGCGTGAAAGAGTGCAGCTGTTTGCCGTGTCACGCTAATGCTCGCGGTAGGTAGAATCAGATAAAAACCAGTTAATCCATCTTGTGCCACGTTCGTTGGTTACAAGCGTTAAATTACGAGATTTACGACTGCGTCGCAGGCGCATTGATTACAATAAGTTACTTAAATCGGTTATTTAAGTTTTTGCCGACTGAGATTGAATCTGTGTCGGCAAAACGCGGTAATGAAAGCTATGTAATTTCAGAAACAAGCAGCTCCATTAAGCCATCATTATCGTATGAAAGATATATGTTTCGCTCAATTATATTATAGACAAATTAATTCCAATGCTATCAAGTTTTAAATTACAGCATGTCTAACTACTCCCTCTCTGCTAAAAGATTTCTTTTAACAAAATATATTTTTTCACTAACTGTTTGCATAAAATAGCCAATCTTTCTCCGCTAATAACCTTTCACAAATTCGAAATGTATTATTTCTGACTGGAAATTTGATCGAGAGCCATCAATCGTCACGGCTCTTTTACCCTTTAACATTAAATATCTTGATGATTAAATCTCTTCATATCGCGTCAATATTATTCAATATTATTTTAATAATTACGTAACTAGGTTTGTGTCACATATTTAAATTTACACTTAACAGTATTAAACTCCGTGTTTAAATAATACTATACGCAATCAAAGGAAAATACGACAGTTCTAAAATCTGCATAATTTAATAATTTATGTCTATATCGTTTATTGTGGCTGCAACATGAGTGTATTGAAATTGGATTTATCGACGCATTGGTTATGTTAAATCGGATTTATTGGCACTAATAGAGGAAGCAACTAATTAATTGTTGTAAAATACTGAACGATATATTCTGTTCTCAGACTGTACCACCAGCATTTGCGGTATCGCTAATTGGAATTGGTAACGAGTTGCGTAAAAATGAATAGAGCGAGCAGGTTTGAATTTCCAAGTTAGCGCGACTCTCATTATACAAAATGTCTTTGCACGTCAAAGATTTAAGAACAACCTCTTTTTTTCATCGCTTTTCGAGGTCAACGAGAGTGATTTGCTTCACCGCTTCACGCAATATTTACATATTTGCATTCGCAATTTTCTCTTAAAAAAGAAGGACGATTATGTAAAGTAATTGTGTGTACTCACCTTTGCGAAGTCGATTTTCAGTGTGCAGCAACCGGAATATATGTCTGCTCCGTGTAGTGTCTCTTTTGCTCTGGTTGCTGATTCCACCGAGTCGAACGTGGTTACCAGAAAAATCAGTTAAGGATATATGATGATTCGTATAAAGAGATATTTCATAAACAATCTAAAAATTTGTATAGATTTCGATAAATTTGGCATTTGACGATAATATAATTTTTATATACGTTATTGTTTTAATTTATGTGATAAGTAATTGATAATCAAATTAACTCAATATTATAATATACATTTTGCGAGTTAAACTGCAAAAAAATTAAACAATCTCATATTTTTAGTCGCATCTCGCGACTTTGAAAATTTAAAATTATTTTGGCACGTATCGATAAGAAAATATAAGTAACAAAAACATGAAAGCAAATATGCTACAGTTATTGCACGAGTCAAATGAATCGTCAAATTACACAGCGAACGCGGCAAGACGAAGGATTCTGACAACACGGAAATTTCACGAAGTTTCACGGCAGCATCACAATGTTATTTTCCCGCAAAGTGGTCGTCGCGCAATGTAAATGGCGATAAAGCCCGGAGTGACACGAAGTTCTAACGAATTTATAGTCACGCGGGACGCGGCTCAACTATTATGCGGATTATAATAGCCAGGAATATATTCCGCCAAGGTGGAGATTTACCGAAAATACGACGCGCTTTTCTCGGCGTAAATTCAAAGCGCGTTGACCGGATTCACGAGTTCGTAGGAGCGCGGAAAAGAGTTCGTGGGGAAAAAGTCGAGCCTCTGCTACGAGCCCGAATCACCGTTATAAATCTTCATTAGGTCATAATGGCAGTGCATGTCTTGACAAAGTTTCCCCGGCTTGGGAAAGCGTGTCAGACGGAGAGTTGATCCCGCGGGCTTCGAGTTCGCCGGGGCTCGGTGTAGAAGGTGACCCTCGACTCGCGTGCTTACCGCGGCCTGTTGCCGCGAAGTTACCGCGTATATCAAATTCGCGTGAAACGCGACGGTTTGCTCGTGCAAAATCAGCCGTTTCCCGCCGGCATTGTTCACATATCGTTGGACTTAAAGACGCGTTTCTTTTACATCGATTTTTCACTTTTAAAACAAAGTGTTAACAGCAAATTCTTTGATAAATTTGAAAATATTTTAAACATAATAAAATAGAAAAGATAAAATTAGATACTCAATTCAACTTGTATGATAAGAAAAGTCTGATCACGATTTTATCCACGTATCAGCAATCTCATGTTTTATATAGCTCACAAAAAAATTGACGACCCAGTTGATTCTTTCCACACAAACGCGCAATATCTGCAGTCGTAAAATAGTGTTACACTGTGCAAACAAAACATTAGCGGTATATCCGTCTTCCTTAGTGATTTATAATGGCGCGGGCGCCGTTCGCTGAATTTAAAGTGTTAATTTACGCAATTGAGATTTACACAGCACCTTCCAGAGAAGTGTTAACGTCGAAACCGCCGAATTTCGCAATGAAAGCGCCGTAAAAATAAAATGTATTGAAAAAGGATATTCGACCATGGCTTGAACGCCGTTCTTTTTGAAGATCACGATACGCTGCACCTGTCCGCTGGGCGCACTGATTGTGTGCAACACTTCCTGCAACAGAAAAGAGGAACGCACTTTAACAGATGTAGAGGAGGATATTTTAGAACGGCGTTTCCGCACTTTGTTGATTTAGGTGATGGCGCATCACCTTTCAACGCATTCTCCGAAATGTGCTTGGAAACCGAGATATCCGACCGACATTAATCTTCAATTAAACATATCTCGAATTCCAGAGCGATTCAGAGGGGCTAAACTTACTTGACAAAATATTTCCTTGAGGCGCGTGTGCCTATTTTTTGTTTTTCAAAGCAATATTAAAAAAAAATTTTTTTAATTGGATTTATAATAAAGTCGGATTTATTTAGACATTATCTCCGCTCGCGATAAGTTTTATCTGAGTCTTAAGCAGCTTTTAGCTTCTTAATTAAATTCTCGTTTCCTTTTTCTTATCGCGCATAATTATAGTACAAATACAGATGGAAAATACCGCTGTATATATTCCTCACTCTAAAATCCTCTGACTAATTACTCGCTATTTAGAAATTGTTAATATCTTATCATTTAAACAGCCATCATTCTTCTTAGTCCCGTCTCTAAAACTGTCGTTAAGAGAACTGATGATAGTTCTGAAGCACTTCGTATTTCCGCTAACCTATTTCTAGCGCGTGATCGATGCACGTCGTATATCATACGCTGCAAATCGAACCAAGTTTACACGGTACGCTCTCCTGGGCATCCTGTACCACATGCACAGCGTATGCGAGACGCTCAGCGGAAGTTCAACCGTCTTCACACGATATTCGCAGTGGATCGCAAACGAGAAGTTTGCGTAGCGCAGACAGGTTGAAAGTCATGAGGTCGGGGAGCACCGCGAGACAAATCGCGAGCGAGTATTTGAATCCCATTCGCGAATGTTTTCCCGGCCAACATCGGCGACGCTACATTTCGTTTTCTCTACGAAGAAAAAGTCGGCAACTATTTCTCATTCGACGTTACGTTTCGCATATAAAGTGGCGCCGTGCACTGTGAGCGAAATTCAAATCTTCAAATTAGTAATATCCATCTGAAAGACAGATATGCATGCAAAATATAGTCGCATCGCCGCCACTGTTTATCTCAAAAATCTGAATTTATTGAAAGTTGAAAACAATTTAAAATTTATGTGGAACAGTTATGAATGTTGGATGATCAACGAGCCTAATTCAATCGGACGCGATTATATTCGTACACATCTGGGATACAAACAGTGTCACTTGAGAATTAGATTAACTAGACATCGCGGACACAGCATCGCACAGTGTAGAACAAGAGAGAGGACAGAGCTGCGACATGTTCGATTGACACTGATTTACATTGCAATTAGCGCTTCCCAATTAAATCCTTAATCCTTAATCATGAACACAGCGCAAATAACAGAGAAGCATTTATTGCATTTGAACATCTTGCCGGACGTCAATAAAATTTATAACAGCTTAAATTAATATTAAATATATAATCAATTAATATATTATATTTTATTTTGATTAATTTTCTTTTCCGGCAAATTTCGCTAATAAACGATTTTCCAAAATGCACGAACTAAGTGAACAACCGACGAAGAGAAGCTCCAAATAGAACCTGTATATCACATTGGTTACGAGATCATTATGCTTCTCAAGTACAAACTTCGATAAAGTTCTGGCGACGCGATCAAAGAAGGTGCTAAATATCGCATATAGGTGCGGATGGATCGCAACATATTTTATTTCGAGATGGTCGATAATTGAGAGCGTTTAGCAGCGAAGTGCGTGTTTACCTGTCGCGACGCCAGCCGAGGAAATCTCGTATTTGCGCGGCACGAACGATGACATTGTGTGGCCCGCTGCCAAAGCAGTTTCCCCCCCCCCCCTCTCACACTCATTCGCTCTCTCTCTCTCTCTCTGAATTCTTCGCGCGCGCGACTAGATGAAAACATGCAACTAGTGAGTCGCATCTAGTGAGTCATACCGTTTATCCGAGAAAAATACAATTTGCTGCGAGCACCGCGTTGAAAACACTCTTGCGAGATGTATTATCTCACGCTTGTGCGATTAGTCATGCAACCGAGACGATCCAAGACGCGACGTCTGAACGAGGCTCGAACGAGATTGTTGAGCGAGTGCAATATCCTTGTTACGAAAGATCTTGCGTGCGATTATGTCACAATGGCTATGCAAATTTTATAACTCTGAAATATGATAACGTCCTCTGAAAATTTCATCGGTCAGCGCTTGAATCGCGTTAACTTGAGCAATTGTAATGGATCCAGATTTAATTACGCAATTATTAGATTATGGCTAGCGGAGTTTGTGCGAAGTCTCATCTTAATTATTCAATTAGATCCCGCCAGAAGAAATTAGCGCGAGTTCTCTCGGGGTCTTTCATTAGTCGCGAAACTCAAGCTCATCAATTTCATGTCCCACGAAATGCACCTTGTACGCACTTTGTGTACACGTGTTAATACAAGCTCAACGCAAGGAACAACGAGAAACTTCTTACACGAAAGCCATCACTTCTACAACGCGGACCATTATACGATATATACGATTGCGCGCAACATTGGGAAAGCTCGATAATCGCGACAAAACAGCTCGAATCGTCGCTACGCGGAAATTGAAAAAACGGGAAATTGAACGCGGTAATTAAATTGTTTCTTGACTTAATAAAAAAGCGGGAGGCGCGCTTGATTATGCAAAACTGTCGCCGTATCCGCGAACGGTCGGGTAAATTTTTATGCGCCGGTCGCCGCCGCATCCAGCATCGCGCCATGTAATATGTATGATCCGTTGCATTTCAGATTGGCTTATGAATAGGAGCGAGCGGTCGCGCGCGTCGCCTCTGCCGCCGGGTTGTCCCGTGTTTTCGGAAACCGCGCGCGACCGACGACACACTCGAACCTAATTATCCGTGTTCCCGCATCCGGGTCGAGGGCCGCTTTTGTGTCGCAACGTGCGCCGCGAGAACAGAAATCCTTCGAGGACGAGCGCGGTATAAATTCAGGAGCGGACGACGCTTCCGCGGACGCGGCACACAAAGCCGTGTGCGATAGAACCGCGCTCGCGCTCGCTCGCTCGCTCGCCGTGATCGCGATAAGAACAGCACGTAATCCTTTGTCCCGCCAAGATGCATTTCGCCCGGGCGAAGCGCATCAAAGAGTCGCGCACACGCGCACGCGCGCGCGCCGTTGCAACGTGATTTACTAAACCGGCTTATCTGACGTTTGCGCAAAACGTCGAACGTGAGGAGAAAACCGTTTTAGTGCGATCAGAATCAATCTCTTAAACATGTCGGGAACAATTGAAGCACTTTGAGCGATGAAAGAAAGAAAATTTCAGAGGAGGAAAATCGATAAACCGGACAAAACAACACAGGATGGGATAAATAATTTTCTAACAATGCTGTGAATCAGCGACCAATAAAAGATGAGTATCGACCGTGACGGAAGATAACACAGTTCGCACTTACGAGGTAACGTGCGGAATTACTCGCCCGGGGGGGTCTATAAACGAGTCCCGCGTTTCCGTTCTCCGGTTGGATGACAGTGCAGTTTGCCGGCAGGATAACTGTGAAGGGGTTAATCCACCGTTCTTGAGCAGGTCAGGTACTAATAATAGATCCGCTTCGGAGGGCATCAATCAGCGCACGAGACGGCGCGTGAGCAGAGAGAGAGAAAAGCGCGCCGGCGGAACGTATCGTCTTATTTAATTCATCGGCGTTCCTCGTGTATCCCTCGGGCGCGCTAATACGACTAATCCGTCGTCGTTTATAAAACACGATCGGCTCGGAAAAGCGGACCCGGTGATTTACGACGGCGACAGCGGCGGCGTTCCTCTGGCGGGGAAATATTTTCGCTCTTTCCGGGTTGTTGATAAATATTCTCCGTTCGCTCTTCCTCTCTCTGTCTCATCCTACTCGATGCCAGATGGTTCTTTGACATAATGCTCGCTTTGTGTCGGCACGAAAGCCATCTCAAAGCTCGATCCGTCGACCGCGAAAGACGGGGGACGCTGCGATGTCGCGTATTAATTAGACAGAACACGAAACAAATGTGCGCGCGGAATGGGATATTCATTAATGCATCATAAACGTCGTGGACGATGACGTAAAACGCAAATAGAAATTACCATAAAATCCGAGAAGATTGCAATTTCGTGGGAAAAATGAGTGACGTGTGTGGAAATATGACAACAAATTTATCTCAAAATATAACTATAAAAATATTTCGTCTTCACTTTCTTAAAATACAAAATATGCTCGAGTGCCGCAACTTTACGTCAGAACTTTATATCACGAAAGTACAGCTGCGCAGGCAAATTTTGAGGAGGAGAGCCACATTTCTTCAGACCCGCATGTAAGTGACAACTTTCGCGAAAACCTTTCTCCCGTTGAAGGAGCGCAGGGAGCGCTCAAGAGGTTTTCGATGCGGAAGAAGCAGAGGATGAGATCTCCCGCGTCGAAGAATCTGCTGCGAGGCAGATCTTTCGACGCCGATGGGAGATAAGGAAGACCGAATTTACGAGCAGCGCGTCCCGCTTCTAATCCCACTCTAATCCCATTCGCGCGAGACCGGAGAAGCGTGAAAAAGTGATGAAGCGTCCGCAATTACGACATCAATTTGCCCGACACGAGAGTAGGTGAGTATGTCCGGATACGAAGACAACGCGCCGGGGATGCGCCTGGAAACTGGAGTATTTCCCCCGAGTGCAATGCCGTCGCACTCCGTCGGGGTGTATTCTATATACGCGAGCCTAATAAGCGCGGCACTTGCAGAACGGCAAATGAAATAAAAAGCTACAAAGTAGCGATACATAAAAAAAGTGAAACATATTTCCATTCGAGTGCAAAATTGTAGGTAAAAAGATCAATATTGCGACTTTTAATATCATTCTTCTCCAAAACTGTCACGCGTTACTGCACGAGATTTAATTGCCGTTTCTAAACGAAACATGTGGAAATTGAAGATTCCAATTTGCGAATGTTATGTGTGTTCTCGAACTCCGGTGCATACGTAAACTTGACTCCCAACTCCCGAC